CAAACAACAAAGAAAAATAAAGTCAAGTAAAGTAAGTATGGAGAGTTAACTATAATTAAGTAAACATGGTTCTAAAAGGACAGTTCCGCAATACTACGCTTAAATTGACTGAGCGAAGTCGCTCTTTTTGCATTTAATGGAAGTTTATTCCACAGCATTGATGCACTATATTTAAAGCTTTGCTTCAAAAAAATAGTTTTTGGTTTTGGAAGTGCTAGATCCGTTTCCTGATTTCGTAAATTATGGCCTCTGTTGAGTTCACTAAGTTTTACGAGGCTTTCTCTTAAACATGGCGAACAATTTTCATTAAGGATTTTATACATTAGGATACTCTTCAACTTAGCCCGCCTAACATGTAGATTATCCCATCCTAAACCTTCCAAAAGATCACTTGATCTAATCCTATCATCATATCTTGCTCCAGTGATAACCCTAGCCACACGATTTTGTAATATTTGCAATTTATCTTTTATAATTTTATCGCATGTATCCCACAGGGGAGAGCAATAATCAAAATATGGTTGAACTAATGATTTGTATAATGCAACAAGAGAGGTCTACGGAACGAATGGTTTAATTCTCCTCAATGCTCCTATGCCTGAACAGATCTTCTTGCATATTTCTTCAATATTAATATCAATAGTCAACCTGTCATCAAGATCAATTCCTAAACATTTATTCGAGACAACAGATGAAATTACGTTATTGTTCACGATAATACTGTTGTACAATTCACCAACTTTGTTGGTCAAATTTTGTTTGGATCCTATGACAATAAGTTTAGCTTCAGAAGTATGTGATTGCAGTTTATTTACATTTAACCAATCTGTGACCTTTTCTAAATCAGAGTTAATATCATTAGCCAGCGCAACAGAGTCGTACGAAGAGGCAAAAATTTGGGTATCATCTGCATATAGACAGGGTGTTGTTGTCTTTAGACAGTTGGGTAAATCGTTGATATAAATTAGGAACAACAACGGGCCAAGTATGGAACCTTGTGGAACCTCGCAAATGATTTCACCTTTATTAGAGAGGTAGCCATTTACTTGACACTGTTGTTGCCGATTTGAGAGATAGGATTGTAACCATGCAAGTTCAAGTTGAGAAACTCCGTAGAAAGCTAGTTTTTCAAGTTGTATAACATGATCTATTGAATCGAAAGCTGTTCTGATATCAAGAAAAACTACCTCTGCACTCTTAAAAATAAGTGTGCTAAACAACACACCTTGGTGTGTTATTTAGCACACAAGGTGTGCTAAAATAGCACACAAGGTGTGTTTTCTTGTCACTGAACACACAAAGGTGTGCTACAAAACACACCAAGGTCTGCTACAAAACACACCAAGGTGTGCTGAGCAGAACACAGTGTACGCAAAAGGTGTGTTCTGTAACACACCTTTAGCTACCACACCTTTCGAGGAAGGGTAAGGTGTGCTCAATTAACACACCTTTGAAAGATAACACACTTTTGGAAGATAACACACCTTTTAAAATAGCACACCTTTCTCCAATAACACACCTTTTTCTACTAGCATATCTTTTTTTGTGCCCCAAAATAGCACACCTTTTTTCAATAACACACTTTAAAATAAAATACCTTTGACGTTGTTAAATTAAGCACATCTTTTGGTGAAAGGTGTGCTTTTGTAACACACCTTCAAACAAGATTTGCTAATTAAGCACACCTTTGGAACAAACACACCTTTTCAACTTACACAATTTTTCATAAAGGCACAGAAATATCCCATGCAAGGATCTCTAACCTATATTCCAATCTACAGTATTTATTTATTCAAATACTGTAGAATTAGGGCGGTAATTGCTATACAAATTCGTATAGTGAAAAAGCTGCAATTTTGTGTAAAATCATCACAAGATTTAGCTGATTGATGCGCTTTTTCATTCGTATATTGCCAAGTCAGGTTGCTGTATATTACCAGTATATCGGGTCCTTATTGTTGAATCGCAAACGCGACTATCGAATGTAGCCAGAAATTGTCAGCGATTTTTTCTCGTCAAATTAATCTATATTCTTTATTTGCTGCGTATTTATTAATCTGTAATTTGAACTTGTGGAATGTTCTGTTGCGGAATATAATTTGCGACAAGTGGAATTTCAACTAGTTTTCAACCAATTAACATGCTTAGAATATATCACGTGTTGTAGTAATTCGATCTGTTTGATAACAAGCGCTAAGTTCGATCTTTTGCAAACATTCAAAGTGGAAAGGATTTTTATTCAAATTTTCCACTTATAAAGTTCCAAAGACCTAATAAAATACATGGAATTTGTTTTCAAAGGTATGTCTATTGTGTATTTACTCATTTGTATGCGGATAGTTACTTGATATACTGTATAGTTATGTTTTTAAATCGAATGCTTGTATTTGTATTAAATACTTTTTTGCCGAAGGCATCTAAACGTTCAGTTGTAAATTTTCGATTAATTTCTATTAGCAGAAGTGTATAAATCTAATCTACACTCTACTTATCTGTGTTTTAAGAAAATCGTATAGCTTATTGGTGTGATATACGTGTATGCTATATATCCTGTGAAATATTTGCCATTTATAGTTCACATTCATTGTATACTTACAAATCACATAAATACAATGTGATTTGTTTGAAGTCAAATTAATAGCATATAGATAGCATTGTAATAGCCCATCTCCCAATATTACCCAATATATGACATGTGCTTGCTATGGTATTAAACCCTCCTATCGGTCACCCTAAAACATGTGTGAGGAGCTGCTTATATGGTCAATATGGAGGAAAGGTAGCCCGGCTATATAGCTTGCTTTCCCTGGATGAATGTCTGTTTACACGTGCCTCTTTAGATGGGCAGGCTCGCCAAATCGAATCAACCAGACTGAGTTTTATAATAGAAGCATATTTTCCAATACGGTAAAGTAGTATAACATGATCTATTGAATCGAAAGCTTTTCTGATATCAAGAAAAACTACCCCTGCATGTTAACTTGCCATTATCCATATTTTCGTACCAGTTATCACAAATTTGAATTAGAGCTGTAATTGTGGAGTGCCCTGGTCGAAGTCCGGATAGGAATTTGGATATAAGGCAATTTTCGTTTAGATGTTTGTAAAGTTGTGTAAAGAATCCTTTTTCGAAAACCTTACTTATTATCGGTAGAATTGATATTGGTCTATAATTTCCCAAAGTTCGTTTGTTGCCTTCCTTATAAATTGGTAGAACTTTCGCATATTTCCAAATTTCTACAAACACTCTGACCAGTTGAAAGTAATAGATTAAAAATATAAGTTAAAGAGGGTGCAATTATATCTGCAGCAATGCGTAGCATTTTAGCCGGAATTTTATCAAGATTCAAGACCAGCGCCTTTCGAAACATTTAGACGTCTTAGAGTTTTCAAAACATTATCCACTGGAATAAACATAACACGAAGGGATTGAATAATTAACTTGTTGTTTACCAAATAAGTTTCTACCTTGTTTGTTGACTGATTTGAAACTTCAGAAGCTAGTTTAGGCCCAATATTAATAAATAATTCATTAAAAGCTTCAGATATATTTTCATCGTTGCGAATAATTTTATCGTCAATTTCAATTTCAGTAACATGTTTTGTTTTACTGGCAAATAATTTGATAATAATTGTTTTATTGATTAATCGAGTTCAAAGTGGGGAAAAAAGCTGGGCCAACATTAACTCGGAGAGAACAAAAGATAATAAATGACAAACTACAAGAGATTGTCACATAAAGAGATATCGATATAAATTCCGTATATATCCTATATCAACGTATTCTTTCTCTTCTATACACGAGGTGTCTTATACAAATGAAAAGTGTTATTCAGTATTAATTCTTGATTCAGTCTGTTTTCTTTCATGTACCGAGGTAATTATTATTTTTAATTGAGGCATATGAATTGTAAAGGTCCATACAGACCGGACGTGATTTGGCAACGCGACGCGAATTTTCAAATTTCAATGACATTTAACTTCAATCTTTTTCTATGTTTTTCAAATATTCGGAACCACTTGAGCAATTTTAGCTATTTGGTCTGCATATCTTGTAAATTTTTTATCCGTTGACGGTTTTATTTGTTTTTAAAAACTGAAAATTCGCGTCGCGTTGTCGAATCGCGTCCGATCTGTATGGACCTTAACGCTAGACATATGAACATAGACATAGAGACATATGAATCGTAACGCTAGACCTCCAGAGCTTTAAATTTCATCAATTGAATACTCGATTACAATTACTTCTAGATCTAGGTAGATAAATAGATAGTTTACTCATTATATAACCTCCAATTCTGAAGAGAATCTGAAAAAAAGCAGCGGACTTTACAATTTTGAATAAATTATTACATAAGTTGCTACAATTTATTAGTGCAGGTAATAGCATAGTTTCGAGTGCAATTTTGATGTAACATGCACGAGTGCGTTCTTCAAAACCTTCAAAATAGCACAAGTCCGAAGAAGAGTGCTATTTGAGGTCTTTGAAAAACTCACGAATGCATGTTTATCCAAATTTCACGAGAAATCATGCTATTACTTATTAATAATTTATATAAAAATGTTCGAGACAATTGTAGTTTTCCTGGCTTTGTTATATCACATTATACAACCACGGGCTTTAGGACAAATTCAATTCGAGAACAATAGTATTCTATCTAAATAGCAGTTAAAATAAAGTACATGTACTGCACCTGAACTGTTCAATATCTTGCTTCTGTATCCATAAAACATTTACATATATGCAAATACTGTATATTTTCAAAATCCGCCATATTTATTTACGTTAGAACCCAAGCTTTCGCGGTTCACACGAAATATTGTAAATTTATATATTGTATTACTCCGAACACATGTACAATAATAGTCATAGTCTTCAAGTTAACTATTAAGCCCGAAGGTCTATGCCTAATAGCCTGCAAACAGGCTTGCTATTTACGAGTATTTATTTCAATGTAACAATAAATGTCAAAATATCACACCACTCCCCTTTAAAAGTATTATCTGTATTTTTCTGGAAGTCTTTGAATTCTTTCTGGATATCTTCTCTCTGGTTGCATTTCCTCTTCTCTGCTGTCAGATTCACTGTCCTCACTGGTACCCAGTGCTGGGTGTCCGACCCCATTCTTCTTTGGTGGATTCCTTGACTTTGGTTTCTTGACAGGTCGAATCTGATAAGGTTTAAGGTAATTGTAATGGACAACTTCTTCTTTAGTTCCATTATTCCTTCTCACTACATAAGATATTTTGGTTACCGACGTGGGCTTTACCACGACACAGGGTTCCGTCCACCGATCTGCAAATGTTTTTGCTCGTAAATTTCTTTTCCAAACTTGTTGACCCATCCCCATGCACGATTTAAACGAAGTTTTACTGTTGTACCGTTCTCTGCGTTTTCCCGCTAACTTGGCATCGGACTCTTGTGCTTTTTGGAATACCTCACTAACAGTCTCGCGCAGTCGTTCCGTTTTCTCTCTAACCGTTGCTGGTGATATCTTCTCTGTTATAATTTCGAATTTTGATCGCGGGTGCTCCTTGAAAACTAGTTCGTACGGCAAAACTCCTGTACTTGTTTGAACTGCTGTGTTGTAAGCTAGTTGTACGTCAGGTAGGTGTTGAGACCATCGGTTGTGATGTTTATATACCAATTTTGTGAGTGCTTCCCCCCATCGTACGATTAATCCGTTCTACACCCGCGTTTCCTTGTGGCCTATAGGTTGGACTGAAAGTATGCTCAATGCCTTGGGGTTATGCAAAACTGTTCAAATGTTTCGCTCATGAAACAAGGTCCATTGTCAGAGTGCACTTTGTTTGGTAAACCATATCTTGATATCCAACCCAAGAGTGTCTTACAAACAACATGGCTGGTTTGTCCTCGAATTGGATGCATCTCTGCATATTTTGCACATGGATCTGTTATCACAACCATATTGTCAAATCCCTCTTTCGTTCTCGGTAATGGACCCTTGAGATCTACTTCTATCAACGCAAATGGTTTCTCTTCTTTTGGTCGTTGATGAATGGGTGCTTTTCTATGTGCATGGGCAAGAGTAGCAGCACAGCGTTGGCACGTTCTTGCATAGTTCTCTACTTCTGCTTTCATCCTTGGCCACCAATAATGAGGTTCAATTCTTGCAAGCATTTTATCTGCTACTTGGTGCCTTGTTTCGTCATGAGCTAATAATAATATGGTGGGAACAAGCGATGCTGGAAGTAATACTTGCTTCTTATGATTACGTGTGAATAAACCATGTTCGTTTCGGTGAGTGGAAATATGTGGCTTAAGGGTTGGGTCACGTTCTTGCTGCAATTGGAAATCATTTATGTCCAACCTTACATCCTTGCAAGGACCAATCTCGTCTTGAGAGCCACCAATAGTAGCCACTTTACTAGTATCCTCATCTCTCTCTTCCCACTTGACATTCCATCCGATCCGACTAAGAGCATCTGCCATGTGATTACCCTGCCCTCGAATAAACTCTATGCGTGGTTCGAATTCTGCTATATCTCTTATCAATGTCGCTCTTCGTCCAAATGGACCTTTCTGTTCCAGGATCTTTAGAAGAGGTTTGTGGTCGGTCCTCATCACTACTTGCGCTCCTAACAGATAATACCGAAAATACTTAAGCGTGTCTCGCATAGCCATCACTTCTCTGTCATAAGTTGGATATGAACGTTCTCGTTTGGTCAATGCACGACTGAAATATGCAACCGGATGTAATTGTCCTTGTGCATCTTCTTGTGATAGTTCATCACCCAGACCCACTTTACTTGCATCCGTGGTAACAACAAAGGGTTGAGTGGGGTCAGGATGTGCTAATACTGGAGCTTTAACCAACTCATGTCTTAGTGTATTGAATGCATCAT